CTTGGGTCTCTGTTTCCCTTGCACTGGGCCCCTCAACTAACCAGCTGGACCCTTTCCCTACCTCTGCCAGACGCCTTGCAGAGTCCTTGCAAGACATGCACACCGGCAACTGCCCTGCTCTCCTCCCTGCAGCTCCTGGCCAAAGCAGCCCTCTTCCCCTACTGCCCTATGGTCACTCTCCACCCATCTGCTCACCTCTGCTTGAGAGTCCCGTGACCTCCTGGGGCAGCCCCGGCCATGCCACTTGCCCCTGCTCACCTGCGTAGCTCTGCCAACTCCCCTGACCTCCAGGGGCAGCTCCCTGTCCTTCCACCTGCCCTTACTCACATGCGGATCTGTGAGCTCCCCCGACCTCCAAGAGCAGCTTCCTGCCCTCCACATGCCCTGCTCACCTGCATAGCTCGGCCAACTCCCAAGAGCTCAACGGGCAGCCTCCCACACTCCCACCTGCCCTGCTGACCTCTGCATGGCTCTGCCAGCAACCCCTACCCCCAGAGGAGGCTCCTTGTTCTGCCACTTGCCCTGCTCACCTGCATAGCTCTGACAGCTCTCTGAACCTCTAGGGGAGGCTCCCAGCACTCCCATCAGCCNGTGAAGATGAGTGCTCAGGAGTGGACAGCCCTGGCCCCAGGCAGACACAAGGCCAGGAAGAGCCACTGCATTTGAGGGAGTGTGGGGGGCCTGATCGCGAGGGCAAGGAAGGCCTGTCCCCACCCCATGGGCCAGGCATGCCTCCTGTGTGGACACAGAGCCCCAGAGAGACCAGTGCATGGGTAACCCGGGAGACAAGGACACACTGTCTCAGCGCAGACTTGTACAGAGATGGGGTAGCCGGATTTTCATATCCCGAGGGGCTACCGAGGGGCCCTGTCCCCCGTCCACACCTCCAGCCTGGAGCAGCCACTGACTGGGGCGCCTGATGAGTAGCCCCAGCTGGGGAAGCCCCCTCCCTTGTCCTGGGCGTCCTGTGCAGACCCACAGGCTCTGCATCTCGCCCGGGTGGGACTGCCTCTCTCCCCCTGATGGTGACAACCAGTCTCAGAAGCCAGCCTGAGCTGTGTCTCAGAAAGAACCATGACAGCATCACAGGGTCCCAGGGTGGTGCTGGGTGCTTTATTTCATGCCGGGGGCCCGGGTGTGTACACGGGGTGGGGCTCGCTGGGGCGCCGGAAACGTGGCTCATTTACCCGGGTTTTGGGAGATGGATTTCTGGGTGGAGTGGTTGTGCAGGGCCTCGTGCATGACCATACACGTGAAGGTGTCTCCCTGCTGCCACTTGCCCTTGTCCACGGTGAGCTTGCTGTACAGGAAGTAGGACCCGTCGGCGTCCCGCTGGGGCGGGGTCGTGCTGTACTTGTTCTCTCGCTCTGGCTGTCCTTTGCCTTGAAACTCCACGTGGATGTCGGGCGGGTAGAAGTCTTTGACCAGGCAGGTCACGCTGACCGTGTTCTTGGTCAGCTCTTCCACGTGTGGGGCCAGGATGTACACTTGTGGCTCCCGGATCTGACCTGTGGGATGAGGTCAGCACAGACGGTCATTCCCAGGCAGGGGCCAACCCCCCATGACCCTGCCCTCGCCTGTGCGTGTCCCACCTTTGGCCTTGGAGATGGTCCTCTCGATGGGGGCTGGCATGGCGTCGTTCTCGACCTTGCACTTGAACTCCTTGCCCTGCAGCCAGTCCTGGTGCCGGATGGGGAGGATACCGACCACGCGCAAGGTGCTGTTGTACTTCACCTCCTCCGACTTTATCTTGCCCGTGTTTACCTCCTTACCGTCTACGTACCAGGTGAACTTGACGTTGGAGTCATCTTGCACCACGTCCACCAGCACACACGTGACCTCGGGTGCCCGGGAGATCATGAGGGTGTCCTTAGGTTTTGGAGGGAAGATGAAGACCGATGGCCCTTCTGGGTTCTCAGGAGCTGGTGTGGGAGACAAGGTCGGAGGTCAGCACAGAGGTGGGCCTGCCTGGACACTGTCCCCCCATGGGCCACCTCCTGGTGGCAGCTGACTTACGTGGGCATTTGGGATAGTTGGAATAATCAGGCTCTGTGAGTCCATTAGACACTGTAGAGAGAGAAGACAGGGGTTACTGGGACCTGCCGGGACCTGGGGGGATGGCCCTGGGGGTGGGCTTAGGTCAAGGCCAGCATTTGGTAGGTCTGAGACCAGTGCCCACTTCTGTGGGCCAAGAGTCTGGGGTCGGGGTGTCCAGCCTTTGCCCACCCAGGGCCTGGTGGAAACCCCCAAATGAACTCTCCCCAAGCTTAGGGGACTTCAGGTTGAGGAGGCCAACAGCGCCCTGCCTGCTGCCCTGGGCTGCTGGGTCAGCCGTCTTTGCCACGTGGTCCACGTGGTCCATGCAGACAGGAGGGCTGCCCAGGCCTGTGTCCTATTGGCCGCCCTCTCCATGTCTGTGCTCTCACCTGTTATTTCTGCCTTGGTGCTGCTGGCCGGGTGGGCCACGTTGCAGGTGAAGGTCTGGGTGTCCCAGTTGCTGGAGGGCACTGTCACCATGCTGCTGAGAGAGTAGAGCCC